CAGAGACCTGGTCATTATTCTACTTGTGCAGCAGTTGGAGGTGTGACTGGAGCACTGTCCAGTGTACCAGAGGGAACCAATTAAAGCAGTACTGGTGACCCTGCAGGGAGTCTGTGTCCAGTGGTTCAGCTGATGGAGTGAGGGGTATCTGTGGTAGTGTTGCACAGCTTATATAGTTTATGAACTAGCTAAAATAAAACTGGATCAGGTGTGTCTGCACATTATGTTGTATGTTCTGATGGCACTTCCAGCAAAAAGGGCTAGTCACAATAAATAGAAGATATTAAAGCTGATTTCTTGCAAAGCATTTAATTTGTGACACATTTAATTGTCAGCTGAACTTCTGAACTTGGGTTTGATATTGAGTGATAAATGACATCACTGATGATGATAAGGATGTCAAAAATACAACACTGAATTTTTTTGCTATTCTGAAGCTCCATTAATATGTTGAAAAAGTTAGTTATTCTTTCTATGCTAGAATTTTTCCTTCTTAAAAGCTAAGACCTAATATGACAAGTTAAAGCTGAGTGGCTTGTGTTCATCTGGATCTGCTCCACAGCCCAGCTGAGCAGACAGTTGAGCTGTCAAAGGAAGAGTCACTGGAGATGGGAACTAGAGACCACGGAGAGAGCTGGTTTTTGTTCCACCAGGAGCATTTTGAACAGATTCAGGTCTCTGTGCCTATTCAGTGTGTTGTCTTTTGAGCTTTGTCAAGTTCTTGAGCAGCTGGAAGACATATGGGAAATGCTAATTATTTTTTATTAATTGTAAAACACTTCATAGCAAGATGTTCCCATATGCATCTGCAAGTTCATGTGGCATAATTAACTGTGGGAAAAATCAGTTATTCCAGTTTTATCCAAGAAAAATAAAGTTTCTGGGCCCTCAGGATGAGCGTCCTTTGCTGAGTCCAGCCCTGGTTTCCTCATTTATGTCTTTTAGAAAGATGGAAGATAGGAACAGATGTTTGCTATTTTAGGTGGTAAGAACTGTTTGCTTGGTTTGTTTTCCTTCTTTTATACTAGTATGTTTTTTGAAAAATAGTTTGAATGACAAAGCTGGCTGCTTGCTTACCTTGCTGTGGCTGCTGGAAGCTCTTCAGAGAGTGAATGAATGTTTATTTTTCAGTCATTTTTGTTTAATCATTAGTCTCATGCAGCAGTTCTGGGTTTTCTGTTCAAAGAGAAGCTTTGCTGTCATTCATTACAGTGTTCTAATAAAACCATTTGATTTCCTCTGGTGGGGCAGTTCTGCCTTGATTATTCTGCCACAGATGATTTTCTAAAAGCCTTTGAAAAGCAGTAACAGGAGCCATTCTGTGCAGTTCACAATTCTGATGGTTTTTCTCCTCCCTCAGGAGCTGGAGCCATGCATAGGGTGTATGCAGACTATTGCCAACATCAAGCTCATCAAGAACTGCCAGGAGCCAAACGAGGGGGAATGCCAGCAGTGCTACTGCCGGCCCATGTGGTGCCTCACCTGCATGGGCAAGTGGTTTGCCAGCAGACAGGACCAGCAGCACCCAGAGACCTGGCTGTCGAGCCAAGTGCCTTGCCCGACTTGCCGAGCCAAATTTTGCATTCTAGATGTTTGCCTAATACGATGAGTAGTAACCTGGGTATGTTTTTACTTTTTTAATTTGACTATTTCATAATGGGTTTGGTTAAAGGCCTGCTAGATCTCTTTCTGAGACTTCATGTTCTACCAGGGTACAAACTCTAAAAGTTTCTTTTACAGTGTTGAAAACAGATGTAAATCTTTTCAGTTCCTTTCCACTTTTACCTGTAACTGTGGATTTTACTCACCTGATGTCAGCTTCTGGATTTTAATTTTGTTTAAACCCCTGTTTTCTTTTCTTACATTTTGGATGGAATAAGGTTATCCTTCTATATTTGCAGTACTGTTGTTTTTTCATGTTTTAACGTAGGTTAAATTCTTTACATTTTAAAATTTATCTTGGGTTTTGATTCTTTAATAAAGGGCTAACTGAGAAAATTGTTTTGATTAGACTTCATTGATGCTTTTGTTATTCTTTAATCCAGTTGTAAAGTTAAATTCTCAAAGTAATCTGACATGCCTCCGGTGTTTGTGAGCTTCTTAAAGACTGTGTTAGAGAAACAAGTTGTTAAAAATTCTTATGAACGTGAAAATAATAGGGTACAAAAATAGACATTTGTCTTTGTGATAGCTTCAGGTTATCATCAAGAGCTACATGCACATATATGGTCATTTCTAGAGAAGATCCTCTGTTTGCAGTAAAGAACACACCACTGCCTCCCACACAATCTTGATGCATTTCTTAAACAAGAGGATAGGGTTTAGAATAAGTTTTCTTACAGCATTTTGTGAAAACAAAACAACAAACCAACAGAAAAAAAAACCAAGTAATGCAAGTGGCTAGACTATTTACTGAACTTTTTTTTATTATTGTGATTTAGTGATTTAGTTTTGCATTTCCAGCTGTGTGTATGCTTTTCCACATCACTGACTTGTGGGTGGCCAGTGCTAGTAATCTGAGGTATATTATATACATGTGATGTCATTAAACTAAAGACAGTCTGTGGGTGGACTGTGTCAGTTTAAGTACTCCATAGGAGTGTATCATGTATAGCCCAAATTTCCCAGTGTGGTGCAGGTCAACAGGTCTTTCAGAACATGAGTCACACCTATATTATTTATTTCTCCAGCTGTAGTTCTGTAATTGCAGTGTTCCAGAAGATATTGGGGAAAATGTTATCTGTTGTTTTTTTTAGGTTAACATAATTTGTCAACCCAAAAAAGACTTTTTTCCAAGCAGGAGATATTTTTAATCCTTTACATGAATACTGTTTTTCTACCATGAGGTTTGGCATAGCTTGAAACCAAAATACAAAGTTATCATGTGATCTCTGCAGTGTGACTGTTTTTATTGTGTTGAAACTGGACCAAGTTGCCCAGAAAAGTGGCTGCCTCATTCTTGGAAGTTCTAAAAGGACTGAACAGGACTTTGAGCAACCTGATCTGGAAAGTGTCCTTACCCATGGCAGAGAGTTAGAACTGGATGATCTTTAAGGGCCTTTCCAACTCAAACCTTTCTCTAATATTGCTAAACTTGCTAAACTGCAGCTAAGCACCATTCCAGTCAGGACAAACCTCAGTAAGACTGAGGTTCTCAGTGCCATTTTTAAAGAAATGTTTGTTGACTTTGAGCTGTTTAAGGACTTGAGATATAAATACTCAAGCTTATACACAGATTACAAAACATTTTCTTCCAAAGACATACTGCAGGATTTCTTATTTGTGGTTTTTGAGGTTGGTGTTTTTTGTTTGGTTTTTTTTGCTAGACAGCTTACCTGTTTAAAATGAACAGTTTTATTTGGATAGCCCTTAAGGAAAAGGCTTAATGAATATATGCAGTTATTCTTAAAACTCTCTGAAGAGCTCAATAAAAATACAGTAGAATCTTTGTAAGACTTCTGGTTTTAATTTTAAAGTTATGTTTACCAGGTAAAACTTTGTATGGTTGGAAATCGGTCTGGCTTATCTGTATGCAGTGTCTTACCTGAGAACATGAGAATAAATACAAATAGGGCTTAAATTCTCCTGAAGGTGTACATGGTAAGTCCTCCTTGGATGGATTTTCCTACCACAGCCTGAATGCAGAGGATTGCATAAATGGAGGAAGGTGTGTATGAAATCTCTGTAAGAACTTCAGGGGAAAAAATGGCCTCCAGATACTTTTTATCAGATGGGAAGGAGTGACACTGGATGTCATGAAATCAGCAGGGGCAATGACAAAAAATTTGTCTTTCCAAGGAAGCACTGGCATGTAGCAATGGTGTGTCCTATATAAAACATTTATTTAATTGTGACCTTGCTCAGATTTATTACCAAGCACCAGTAATAAAGAATCTATCACATTCCTATATCACATTCCTGTAGTAGAGGACCAATTGGAGTGCATCCAGAGGAGAGCCATGAAGACATTTAGAGGACTGGAGCTCCTCTGCTATGGAGACAGGCTGAGAGAGCAAGAGGCATTCAGCCTGGAGAAGAGAAGGCTCCAGGGAGACCTTGCAGCACCTTCCAGTACCTAAAGGGTCTCTGAGAGAGCTGGAGAGGAACTTTTGACAAGGCCATGGCATGACAGGAGAAGGGAGAATGGCTTAAAACTGAAAGGGAATAGGTTCAGATTAGATAGAGGGGAAGAAATTCTTCACTCTGAGGGTGGTGAGGCACCAGGGTGGAGAGGCTGACCAGAGAAGCTGTGGATGTCCCAACCCTGGAAGCAATCCTGTTCAAGGCCAGGCTGGATGGGGCTGAGCATCCTGCTCTAGGGGAAGGTGTCCCTGCCCATGGCAAGGAGTTTTAAGTAAAGGTCTTCAGCATCCCTTCCCACCCAAACTATTCTGTCATTTTATGAAACTGGCTAGCCTGCAGCTAAGTACCATTGCAGTCAGGATAACCTCAGTAAGACTAAAGTTCCGAGTGCCTTTCTTAAGAAATGTTTGTTGACTTTGAGCTATTTAAGGAGTTGAGATATAAATATTGGAGCAAGTTATCTTTAAGATCCTTTTCAAGCCAAACTGTTCTATGATTCCATTAATGGTATGAAATGTGGTACACATTCCTGTAGCGTGTATATTGAGGTGGCCACCAACCCCTCACGACGCTGACCCAAAACAAATCCTTGGCTATTGCATGAGGTACCACCGTGATGTGCGAGCTGGGTTTTCCCTGCATTTGCGAGCGGAGTGGGCTGGGCGATGCAGCCGGACGGAGATGGCGTGAGGGCACTGGTGCCCTCGGTGTGAGGCAAGCTGCGCCCGGTCCCTCAGAGGGGCGGAGGACACTTTACTCCAGTCGGACGGAGCAGCACTCCCGCAGGAACAGCACCGTCCCGGGCCTTCCCGGCCGCGGCACCGCCCGGGCCGCGCCTGCGCTCCCCGCGGGAGGCCGGGCCGCGCCTGCGCTGCGCCCGGGCCGGGCCGGGCCGGGCCGGGGCCATGTTCGGCCGGGCCGCCGCCCGACCCAGCCATGTCGAGCGCGCCGCGCCGGCCGGGCGCAGCGGAGCCGGCCGGGCTGCGCAGGTGGGAGCGGCCGCGGGGGGACTGGGAACGGGGCGGGCAGCGCTGGGCGGGCGGGGATGCGGCGCTGTCTGTCCCGGGGCGGCTCCGGAGGCAGCTGCTGCCTGTGCCGCCCGTGCTTCTCCGGCGAGCATCCCCTTCTCACCCCCCGTGCAGGGGCTCCTTCGGCCTCCTCTGTCGGTGGCGACTGAAGGACCAGCAGCCCGGGCAGGGCGTGTGGGCTCGGCGGGACGCCCCAGCCCGGCTGGGAGTGCTGGGGCTTGGTATCAGGCTGGAGTGGGCGGGATGCAAAGCAAATACTGGAATGTTTCTAAAAGACGTAATTTTCATTTATCATTTCACCTTAGATTTTCAAACAGTGTCTACTTACGGCATGTGTTGTAGTATACCTAAGCCGGTTTTAAAAATGTTTCTTTCAAGTCGTTGAACCGAGTAATTGTTTAAGATGGTTAGGGAAGGGTTTTATCTGTTCATTGCCGTGGCGAAAACTGACCGGATTTGGAAGCAGACCTTTTTGCCTGAGTCTGTGATTCTGAGCAAGCTGTTTGCTGTCTGTTGTTGGTAACTTCGAGCCCTCTGGAAGCAGGAAACTCCCAAAGCCAGACAGGGTGGAGGAGGTAGGGAAAGAAAACACGGGTGGTTAACACGGGAGTAAAATACCAAAATTCTTTCCTTCTCCCTTGTTGAGCTAAGGGAGAGACCTGGCACGTACAGAGCAGTGTGTTTGCTGTTACACATACAAAACACGATATATTTACAGTGCAGAGGCTGCAGTACCTGATCGTTCTCTCTGGCAGGGGTGGCAGTGGATCTGCAGGTGTGGTCTTTAGCCCAGAAGCCCGGTCGGGTGTTAATAGATGCTACGATTGTGTTTTGTTTAGTAACCTGTCATTTAAGATGTCAAAGCTGTCAGAACCGAGGAGGAGAATGTAGAGAACTCAACCCTTAAGCAATCCCTGGCTGACTAGCCAGTGTGTCGTAAGCACTACAGTCTGCTCCTTGTCCCAGGCCTCCTTGTGAGGGCTCTGCAACCACATCTGGTCAAGAATTTCCTGTGTGAAAGTGTTTCCACATAAACATTTGACCTACTTCTCCTTAGTCATTGCGTGGAAGTGTAGTTTCTGGTCTTTTCTTTGAGTTTACTACTGGATGGGGCAGTAAATAAGTGTCAAATAATGCACTGCTGACAGAGCATGGTCTGTGGATGTTGGCACATGTCCACAAGTCCATAAATATTGATGGCAGTCTTCCGCACCATTCTTTTTGCAAAAAGAGTATTTTTTTTGTTACCTAAATATGAACTGTTTATTTGAAAATTTTGATATCTTAATTGTATTAGTCAAAGATATTTTCTCAGCAATTGCACCAACACCATTGTTAAGTACATGTTGCATGAGTAAGCTGATCTAAGTCACGTATCTGTATGCCAAATCAGATTGTCCATATTTGATTTTTATAGACCATGTTCAATGACTGCCAGTGACTTGATTTCAAGATGAAAATTCTTATTTTCTAGTTCGGTGCAACATCCATACCGCTGGCATCAAGAGCAGGAACACAGAAGCTGCAATGATTCACATTCTCTCATGGTTGAGGAATATCAGTGTGGTCATTCAGACCACTGGTTGGAGAGGTAAGGAATAAGTGTAATTTTTTTTAAAATCTCCCCTTTGCTGCATTCTTCTTTAGGACTCCAAGAAAAGCTTGGACATGTTTAGGTTGAGTGTTTTCTTGTAATAGAGTAGCACAGAGTTAGGAGATGATACCTGCATCATGCCGAAAGAAGACCATCAAGTTTGTCTCATTGAAATACATGCCATAGTATTAGCAAGTATTCAAAATGAAAGGGTGAAAGGCTATGTACTGAAGTAGTAGTTTAAGCCCTGTATTGCTGAAGTCTTCAATATTTGTATAAAACTCCCAATAAAACCATTTGCTGTTATTTTCATACTTTCCTTATGCATCTTTATGTGTAAATGTGGGTAGACCATCTTTGTCTCTTCACAGTCCACCTGGTATATTCAGCTGTACTGCAGTTTTTAGTGAGCACCCTATATTTCCTACAGTCCCTTACTGAGGACAATTTGAGATGAGATAGAGTTTTATACTTAGGTAATTCTGTGAATATTTTGCTTGGTTTTTGGATAGTCTAGACTAAAGACCCAAGGTGGAGGAAGTGGTTGAGACTGGTATCTTAGAGTCTGATAGCAAGGGTGAAAAGTGGTTGAGATATGTTCAGAAAACTGAACAGAATGTAAGAGGAAATGTTTTACTGAGTGTACAGGAAAATATTTTTTTATGTAATTCATACATTTCTGAGTATTCCACTGTATGAAGGTGATTTTTATTTTTGATAGAATGTTTAATATTGCTTCATTAATGAATGAGTCTTTTGAAGAGTTTAGGAAAGGCCTTGTATTCAGAGTGTTTTCTATGTCTTTGATGTGGTCATAGTAAGTACTAACAGTAAGGCATGAATGTAAGACTTAAGTGGATGTACCAGCAGTGTTTTGTGTTTCTCTTTCGCTGAGTGGATATGTTCCTTTTCCATGTGGAATCTTTGTCCTGTGTTACAATGACGTTGTCAGCTTGGATGGTAATTTCATCTGTTGATGTGAAACCATTTAGGGAAAGTAAGACTGTCAGCGAAATCTGCTTCTGTATTACTTACATGACTTGCTAAATGTTGAGGCATGAAAATTAACAGAAGAGGGCAGGCTGAAGGTGACTCAGAACTGAGCTGGAGAAGTAACATGTCCGTAGTTTTACAGTTATAGAGATGGTTTTGTCCATTATTGCTGTTTCTGTTGATTAAATGTGTTGCAAGCAGCAAACATTCATGTTGAATTCCCATTATTTTCTAGCTCTACAACATCAGAACACTCTAAGCAGCTTTCCAATTGCCCCCGCTGGGAAGGTAGAATTGAAGAAGGCAAAACAATGAGGACATCAGATAAAAAAATGACAAAGTAGGTCTTGAACTATTATTGTTTCTTGTTGCATTGGTTTTAGCAATAACCATCTTTGGCTCCTTTACTGTGGAGGCTGGTGATTCAGCCAACAATGTAACCACTCTCACCTTAAGAAAAAGCCCTTAGGCTCCAGCTTGCCATGCTCCCCCTGGGGGAGAAAACCTAGCTGATAGCCTGCAGTTGTGATGAGCAAAAAGGAGTTGCCCCCCCCAGCATGCCTTGTAGGCCATGGAAATTGTGTACTCCATGCGGATTCTATGTATCCCATTGGTCCTTCCCCTTTGCTCTGCCCCTGAACCCTCTGTGGACTAGTTCTGATCCTCCTGTATGAACCCCTGCTCCCTCTGACTTGCTGGCTCTTCATCCCTGGACACTTCTGAAGAAGGAGCTGAATAAAACCTCCCGAAGAATTCCGTATGAAGGCTCCGTCTCTTTCCTGCTGCGTCACCTGAAGAGCTGCATTCACTCAACAGCCCTTTTCAGGGCTCAGAGCTTTAATCACAGAGCAGCTGCAGACATGCCTGTGCCTCCAGGACATCCTTTTAAGGACACTTCTCTAGGAAGGTCTTGGCATTCTTACCATCACTGCCCACCACAGCAAGTAGCGCCCGAACAGGGACTGCAGCCAGTGGTTCCCTGGAGAAGCGTCTCCTGCAGCATCAGCTGCAGGAATTAAGTCACTCTCGGGTTTTGTCTCTTCCCTGAGGAGAACCCCTTGCGTTTTAGCAAGGGCTATCTGAAGGGTGACCGGGACCCTCCAAGCACCATCTGGGGATTGAAGGAGACTCCCTGAGGACCGGTCGATGGGTGACCATCCACCCAGCAGGTTTCTGTTCGCCCTGCGGGCTTTCCTTGCCCGAAGAAAAAATGTGAGTTTCATTGAATTAGCACTTTTTTGTTTTGCTGCTGAGTGTGGGAGAAGAGTGAGGATGGGCAACAAACTAAGTCGTCCAAAGCTCAGCCTTCCTCAAAGAGATGTTTATCTCCAAGTTGTGGGTGCCCTTGTTGCGAGGAAATTTAAGTTTTCTAAAGGTGAATTGAAATGTTTTGTTCATTGGGTTTTTAAGTATTTCCCAAATGCAACACAGGATTCCCTTTGTTTAAATTCTTTTTGGGATGCCGTGGGGTAAAAGTTGTACTTAGTTTTAGCAGATGGGGATCTTTTAGTTTCCAAGTTTTTATCTCTGTTCCATCTCATTGTTAAGACAGTGGTTGGCTTGGGGAATGTTTCAGGGAATGTGTTGGGAAAAGTTTCGGGTCCCCAGCTGAAATCCCCTTTCCCTCCTTCCTCTCCTCATGTTCCCAAACCCTCTTCCCCGCCTGAGGGGCAATCGGAAGGTGGTCATTCCCATATGGTGCAGGGCTGTTGGCAACTCCCTGACACCTCCCGAACTTCCCTCTACCCGCGCTAGCGAGGGCCCTGCTGCCCTGGACCTTTCCCTCAGCCTCCTTCCAATGCTCTTGTGCTGGCTTTCTCCTTCATCTAGTTTTGCTCCACAAAATGGCACAGGCAACATGGTCAACCCTGTCGTTGTATCTCCTTCTTGTCCAAGTTTTCCCACCCTCACTCCACAAAATGGCCACTTTCCCGCCTCTCCTCCACTTTTTCCTGTGCTTTCCATCACGCCTGGCTCCTCCTGTCCCCCTGCGTCGATGGATGTAACTGCCTTGGGACCCCCCCATTCCATCAGTATCACCCCCTCCATCCCTTCCAGCCTTGGCTCCTCCCCAGTGGTCCAACTCCCTCTCGGTTCCCACGCCACCAGGACTGGAAGCGGAAATGACAGTGACTGGAAGGAGGCCATATTGGCCTCCTCTTCCACCCATCACTTGGCAGCTCCAGTTGGCCTGAAAAAGCCCCATGCTGCTATCTGGAACCTTCCATCCTCCTCGGAGGATGAGAGCAGTGACGCTTCAGACTCCGATTCTCAGTCTGAAGATCACTGGGCCAAAGCCCGAAGGGAGGCCACCAGGGAGGGGGATTGGGAATTGGCTAGTAGGATCTCTGCCCAAAAGCTGGGAGCTGCTTCCCAACGGGGAGCTAAAAGAACTATGTAAGGCGGCAAAGGAACACAGGCAGGGATCACATTTCTTTAAGAATCTAGTAGAAGCTACCTTCTCTGTGCACACATTAGTGCTGCATGACATCAAAAACATTGAACTGCCTCATTTCCCCAGCAGAATATATGCTGTGGGAAAGGCACTGGAAGAAAAATCTAAAAACATTAGCTGACAGCTATGCCAAAGATGTAAATCAGCCCAACTTAACAACTGAGCAAATGGCCAGAGAAGGTAACTTTTTAAAACCCACTGATCAGGCCAGAGACCTGCCTGAAGCTGTTCTGCATGACGTTGCTGCTGCTGCCAAAACATCACTGTCCCTACATCTACCCCCACACAAAGTTTCACAACCATCAAGCAGGGATTCAATGAGAGTTTTATTAAATTTGTTGACAGACTAAAAGTTGTGCTGGAAAAACAGACTGAGAGCCCAGAAGGGCAGAAAGAAGTATTAAATAAAATGGCTATAGCTAATGCAAATGCCCAGTGCAAGGCAATTTTAAGAGCTCTTCCTTTTGACCCCGAACCCTCCATTGAACAAATGGTTGAAGCCTGCACCCGATACACATCATCAGAAAACACTGTGGTGCAGGCTGTGACTAAGGGGATTGTGGGTGGAGTGACTGGAGCATTTACAGCAGTAGCCAAGGACTTCCTAATAAATAATGTTTTAATTGCGGAAAGACTGGACATTTCTTTAAGGACTGTCACGACAAAATACATGAATTGACTACTGCAAGCACCATCCATGGCCACAACAATGCCTGCCATTCCAGCAGCGCCTGAGAAACTTCCAACAGTGCACAGAACAGCCCTTTACGATGACACGAAATCAGAAGCCATTCTTCCCTGCTCTACCATCCCAGAGCAGATGGGAGACCAGACACCAGCTCCAAGAGCTTGGCAATTGCCAGAGCGGTTCAGGTGGGAACCTGGTGCCAGCTGGTAAGCAACCTATCAATTAACTTAATTGATGAGTGCTTCCACAAGAGTCCACCTGGAAAATACGGACCAGAAGACAGTCCTTGGGACATTTTAATTATTGACATGTTCAACTCACCTGAACAAATTTATGTAATTCCTGAGGTGCAGACAATATACCCAGGGGACAAAATTTTTGTCTCCCTTATGTGCACTGATGCGCCATACTACTTATTCCAAGGAACACCAATTGCACAGGCCTTTTTACTGCCACCTGTTTGGAAGAGGTTTCCCTCAAGCCTACAGCCATGTGGATGCAGACTGTGGGTTCAAATAAACGCCGTATAGAGTGTGACCTGTTCTGCAGAGGGGAGAAGATCTGCTGCCCAGGCATGCTGGACACTGGAGCAGATGTTACCATCATTGCCTGTTTTGAGCAGCCAGAAAACTGGGAACTGCAGCCCGTGGCAAGGATGATCTCGGGGATTGGAGGTGTGGCACTTTCATATAGAAGAGAAATATTGTTGTAGAAGGTCTGGAGGGAAAAATGGTGACCATTCGACCATTTGTGGTGAGGGCACCAATTACCCTTTGGGGCAGGGACCTATTGTCCCAATGGGGGCCCTCTCTATCAGTCCCCAGTAGAGATTTTTAGTTGGGGCCGCTGTGGAGTGTGGAACATTCACCATTCCTCGACTCACCTGGAAACAAGGTCATCCAGTGTGGGTCAACCAGTGGCCCCTTTCCAACCAGAAATTGTGTGCTTTGGAAGCCCTCGTGGAAGAGCAACTCTCCAAGGACCACCATGTTGAGACCAATAGCCCTCGGAACTCACCTGCTTTTGTTCTAAAAAAGCCTGGCAAAGACAGGAGGAGGCTCTTCCTTGACCTCAGAAAGATCAATGGGGTCATTGAGAGCATGGGTTCCCTGCAGCTCGGTTTGCCCTCACCATTGATGCTACCGTGGGATTGGAAACTTCATCATCGATACTAAAGACTGGTTCTTTAATATCCCACTCCATCTCCAGGACGCACCTGGATTTGCGTTCTCTGTCCCCTCCCCTAACAGACAAGGTCCTCTAAAATGGTACCACTGGCTTGTCCTCCCACAAGGGAAGAAGAATTCACCAATGACATGCCAGTGGTACATGGCACACATTATGTCCCCCATCAGGAACCTGCTCCCTGAGGCAGTCATCCTCCACTACATGGACAGTATTTTGGTCTGTGCTCCCACTGATGCTTACCTGGACATGACTTTAAAAAAAACATAAAAGCTACTGAAAGAGAAGGCTTTGAGATCTGGGAAGACAAGATCTGACAAGCCAACCCCTGGACCTACCTCGGACTTCAAATACGTGAGCAGACCATTGTGCCCCAGCAACTGATCATCTGGGACGACCTGAAGACCCTGCGGGACCTCAATCGACTCTGCTGATGCATCAACTGGATACGTCCCCTGCTGGGGATAACAATAGAGGACCTCAAACCACTTTTCAATCTCCTCTGAGGCAGTGAGGACCTGGACTCACCGCGTGCCCTCATGCCCGAGGCCTGAGGCTCCATCACCAAGGTCCAGGAGGCCCTGTCCTCTCGATAAACCCACCAGTATGAACCTAGCCTGCCCTTTAATATGGCCATTTTAGGTAAGGCCCCCTGTTTCATGGCCTTATCTTCCAATGGGAGGCTCACTCAAGGGACCCCCTAATCATCCTTGAGTGGGTGTTCCCCCATCACCAGTCGACTAAAACAATTACCACCACACAAGAATTAATGGCAGTATTGGTAAGGAAGGCCCGAGCTCGTCTCCGCTCTCATGCAGAGTGTGATTTCAATGCATTCACCTACCATTGGCCACTGTCGGGGATTTGGAGCATTTGCTCCAATTAAAGGAGTCTTCAGTTTGCCCTGGATAGCTACCCAGGCCACATTTCAATCCATTATCTCAAACATAAATTGCTCAATTGAGCTATTAATTTAGTCCCCAAATATCCAAAGTAAAACCCTTCTCAAGGTTCTGACCATTTTTACTGACAGCTCAGGGTCTTCTCACAAGTCAGTAATGACCTGGAAGGATCCCAGGACACAGAGGTGGGAGTCTGACGTCCAAGTGGTAGAAGGGTCACCACAGCTTGCTGAGTTAGCAGCCGTTGTCAGAGCATTTGAGAAGTTTCAAGAGCCTATAAGTGTGGTCACTGATTCAGCAAATGTTGCAGGGCATGAGGGCAGAACATTCCTTATTAAAAGAAATCTCCAACCCAAATTTATACCAGATGCTTTCCAAACTGATTCATCTTATCTCCCACAGTAAGCATCCGTTTCATATAATGCATATGAGGTCACACACCAACCTCCCGGGTGCCATCGCGGAGGGAAGCAGGAGAGCAGACACACTGCCATGACAGCTGGGATGGTGAACGTGCCGGACATCTTTGCCCACACCTTTTTCTGCCAGAATGTCCCAGCCCTCATGTGCATGTTTCATCTTTCAAGAGATCAAGCAAGAACTATCATGGCCACCTGCCAGAACTGTCAGTCCTTTCACTATCATCCTTAGGCTCTGGAGTCAACCCCAGAGGCCTCAACAGCTGCCAGGTTTGGCAAACAGATGTAACCCAGTTCCCGTCCTTTGGAAGAATTTGGAAGGTGTCAGTAGATACCTTCTCAGGAGCAGTGTTTGCCTCAGCCCATGTGGGAGAAGATGCAACACATATCATCAAGCATCTTCTGGCGTTTACCACCCTAGGAGTCCCCAAGGAAATAAAAACTGACAGTGGGCCTGCTTACACCTCCCTCAAATTAAATGCCTTTTCCAATCAGTGGGGGGTGAGGCACACCACAGGCATTCCACATAATCCCACAGGCCAGTCAATAGTGGAACGGACCCATGGTACCATCAAGCGAGTCCTTAGCAGTGGGGAGGAACAGAGACAATGTCTCCCACTGAGAGACTCCATAAAGCTCTCTATGTGATTTAATTTCCTAAACTGCTCATTTTCAGAGCCAACCCCAACCCCCTCCCCTCCATACCCTGGCACTTCTCAAATTTGGCCCAAGCTAAGCTGGACAAGAAGCTGCCAGTGCTGATTAAGGATCCTGAGACCTGACAAATAGCAGGGCCTTTCCCACTGATTACCTGGGGGAGGGAATATGCCTGTGTGTCAGCTCCACCTGGCCCAAAATGTCTCCCAGGGAAATACATCAAACCTTATTTAGGACCAACAAACACTGCCCCTGACAAAAATATCAATAATTCCTCCAAGTCTACCACAGAACCACAGGATCAAATATCAACTGCCTGGAGATGGAAATGCTGTAAGACACAGCTTCTACAAAGACTACATCACCCCATCATCAGGTCCCAGACCAAACACAACACCGGAAACAACAATGCCAAAAGCTGGGCACATCCTAGCAAGTTTACTGCTACCCCCAGTTGTCCCCTGACCCTCACTTCCCTTTAGACTTACCTCCCCCATGCTTACCTTCCCGCTACAGCCCTCTTCCCTCTTTACTAAACTTCCCAACACCACCTATACCTTCATTCTTTTAGTCTTATTAAGGAAAGGGAGGATGAAGAAGGGGGATGAAGAGTAGAGGGGAAATTCAAAGGGTATGAAGATATTCCCTCCCCTTCCCCCAAAGGTCTAATAATGTGTTTATACCCCCAACAGAAGCTCTTTTCCCAGCCAAAGATCAAAAACACCTATCTTAACACCCACCTCACCACCACCAGGATGATCATCTGGATGCTCCTGATGGCTTAGCATGTCCTTGGCTGGATGGTCAGCCAACCCAACCATAACGTGTGGGTCACCCTGGCCAGGAGCCTCCAGCAGAACAATATGTGCCTGCCCATGGGCTCCGTCCATAACTCACTACAGTCATGTCTGCTGGGGATTCCCCTCAGGCCCAGTGAACACCCCTTTGTGGGGAGATGGCCCAACCCAATGAGAGCACTATGGAGGGATGGAACTGGTGGATAGAGAAATTTCCTAAGGCACCGGAGGAACCTAGAGAATTAGACTTGTTGGAGTCATCCAAAGCCATTTTTTGCTTTAACTTTTATTTCCTTAACCCTTCAGATACACTAAGGATGTAACCCCAACCAAAAAAATTTACGATTCAGCCGAGTGGTGCAACTACACAGTTGAGACATCACTTGACTCCTCCAGTTCTGTCTTTCCCAGAGTGCTCCCTCCGGCTGTGTTTCTTCTCTGTGGAGACAGGGCCTGGGGTGGAGTTCCCTCATGTCTCAGAGGAGGTCCCTGCATTTTTGGCCAACTTAGCACCCTCACTCCAAACATCACACTGTTACAAGATTGGAGACAGAAAAACAAATTGGCACGCCAAAAATGTACTCTCACCGGATCTGATGAAAATTGTGATTCTAAATTTACTGATTGGCCAAAGAATTAATGGGTCTCAGTGCCCATCTTCCTCCTGTGGGTGGCCGCTGCAGAAGGCCTGGGCAAAATTTCGCATTTGGGGTGTTGGCTTACTAAACAGGCCAACAGAACATCTAAGGCACTCAGCACCCTCGTCAAAGATGAAGAGATGACCAGACACGCCACCTTGCAAAAAGCATGCAACGATTGACTGTCTCCTGTTAGTCCATGGACTCAGCTGACAGAACTTTGAGGGCTTCTGCTGCTTTTTCCTGTCAGACCACAGCCAGTCCGTATCCAGGAGCATCCAGATGCTCAAAGAAAATGCCAAAGAGCTTCAGATGGAGAAAGACACCAAGTGGTTTATGAATTGCTTTAGACATTATAGACTGAGAGGCTGGGTTGTCTCTTCCCTTAATAATGTGTTGTACATTTTTTTGGTTATTGTGTTTATGTTTTCATGTTTTTACATTTCTTAAAAAAAGCTATAGGGGAGGCATTCTTAATTAATAAAGAAGGAGGGAGTTGTGGAGACTGGTAATTCAGCCAACAATGTAACCTCTCTCCCTGGAGAAAAAGCCCTAAGGCTCCGGCTTGCCCTGGGGGAGAAACCCTAGCTGATAGCTTACAGTTGTGATGAGCAAAAGGGAGTTGTCCCTCCAGCACAGGCCATGCAAATTTTGTGTACCGCATGCAGATTCTATGTATCCTATTAGTCTTTCCCCTTTACTCTGCCCCTGAACCCTCTGTGGACTGATCCTGATCCTCCTGTATGAACCCCTGCTCCCTCTGACTTGCTGGCTCTTCATCCCTGGACACCTCTGAAGAAGGAGCTGAATAAAACCTCCTGAAGAATTTCGTATGAAGGCTCCGTCTCTTTCCTGCTGCATCACCTGAAGAGCTGCATTCACTCAACCGCCCTTTTCAGGGCTCAGAGCTGTAATCACAGAGCAGCTGCAGACATGCCTGTGCCTCCAGGACATCCTTTTAGGGACACTTCTCTAGGAAGGTTGTGGCACTCTTACCATAACTGCCAGCTGTGACACTTTATCTGCATTAATGAAGATTTGAAACCACAGACAGGCTGTTTCATGTCAAGCCTCAAGAAAGACTTATGGAGGGAGTAGCACTGAGAAAATCTATCTCAAAAGCTACTTCAGTGTGTTTATTTGATATTCAGATTTGATTAGCACAGCTTTCATTTCTGTGAACTACTGAGGCAAAATTTGTGCTCGCTGTCTTATCAGTAAGAATACAGGACAGTTCTAGAATGTGTGTTCATCTAACTTCTTATAAAGCTATTAAGGTTCTTTTTAACTTAATTCTTACTTTCCTTTTCAAGTTCTGTTTCAAGCAACACTGGTAATCCACAGGAAAGGGAAACTGATGAAGTGGTCCTGAGGAGGAGACAGAAACAGATCAATTTTGGAAAGAATACCCTTGCATATGACAGATACATTAAAGAAGTCCCAAAGTAAGTGGCACTGTGTTACAGATTTCCAAGTGTACTCTTATTTCTTCCTGGTGGGTGGGTGGTTGTGGATGTGTGTTTGCGTAGAATAGCACACAGCCTTAGTTCTCTTCAAATGCTTCCTGAGGTTTTTATTGCTGAGTGTGATATTATGTGATGTGTGATATCTCTGGGTAATTTGAGTCAGCTGTCCCAGCACTTTTCCCTCTCAACTTAGTGTCCACTCTCACCTTAGTGTCTGTGGGGCGGAGAAAGGAGAATGCCTTGAAGCTGTGCAAGCACTGTTCAGTAATGCCCAAAAATCAGTGTGGTTATCAGCACTGTTTCAGCAATCAGTGCAAAACACAGCACTACAGGGACTGCTGTGGGGGCAGGTAACTCCGTCTTCAACAGGCTCAGTGCAGTGCTAAATAAAAGAAGCTGGAATTTGTCAATTGCAAAAGTAAAGTGGAAGGAGTTGGAGGTTAGGATAATGTTGAAGCAGTATGAGTTATGCTTCTGTTTTGTCTTTGTTCATGGGCAATAAGGATCAGCTTTTGGCAGCTGTCAGAGTGCTGGACTGGATGAGCCTCCAGTCTGACTCAGCACATTAGTTGTTGCTCTTGTGATCTATTTTTGATAATGTCTTATACACATTTCTGTGAAGTGTTTAAAAATATAAACATTTTATTCATTAGACCACCAATGCTTGTGTGACCCTGACAGGCTAAGGATTCTTTTTAAGGAAAAAGCTCCTTATGTTCTGAAACATTAAATGTTACTGTGTATTGACAGGAACCAGCGAATTCCGGGAGTTCACCCTAGAACTCCCAACAAGTTTAAGAAGTACAGCCGTAGGTCCTGGGACCGGCAGATCAAGCTGTGGAAGATAGCCCTGCATGCCTGGGATCCTCCTGCTGAAGAAACCTGGGATCTGCAGCCCGTGTATGTTACATGGGTGAATTAAGTCAGAGCTTAAGAGATTTAAGGAGGGTTCTGTAGTTCATTTAGAGCATTTCTGACTGGGAGAAAAAAGATCCGACTCAAAAATGGGAGTCTTCTTGAATTCATTGTTTTCCACTGGAATTCTCAGTCTCCAAGACATTCCAGTTATTTAGTCCAAGTTAATGTGCAGTCAGGTGTTATGGGGAGAAAGGCATTTGTTCTGCCTGCAGCAGTACATTCCCTCCCGCTTTGTATTTGCACTGGTGGGCACAAGGTAACATTACGGTTCCCAAAAGCGAGAGACAAAAGCAGAAATTTGGCAATTACTGGTCCTTGACTTTGATAACTTTCCCTCTTTCCTTTTCCTGATGTCAGTGGAACCACAGGTCTCCTAGAGTGACAATATGTTAGAGGATTTGAGATGTTTAGGAAGATGAGAGAGATTTCTGTGCTCTCTGTAGGATGGTGGCAACTGTGTTCAAGAAGGAAATATTTTTGTTTTCACAGCTCTGAATTTCTGTAACAGGGCTGGCTCTGCTGCTTAATGCCACCTCATGCTTTACAAGATTTGGACTAGTAAATTGGGAAAAGAGTGAATGGAATTCTCTTAGTTGTTTACATAGTTTTACCTGAGTTGTAATTGACCAGTGGTAGATGTGGACCTGATTTTCTGCAAGAGTTTCCAGCCTGTCAGTGGCTGTTCCAAGGGAAAGTCTCTTGAGAACATTTCTCACTCAAGGATAATTTTTGTAAATAACTTGTAGTTCTCAAAACAATATTGTACAGCTGTGATGAGTGTGTTTTCGCTTGTTCCACCAAAGGGACAAGAGGGGTGTTGTTCCCTTTACCAGTCATGTTAAACCTGTATCATAAGACCCTATAAAGGAGCTGAATGTTCTGAAATAAGCCCTTCAGATGATCCTCTTTCTACCTGTTGCATTAAATCCACACTCCTTATTTCGTGTCCAACAGCGAAAGGTAGAAGTTGCAGTTTTTACACCATTTGGGTGTCATATGAGATGAACTGTTAATTATTGCTGCAGCTTAACTGTTTTCAGTTTGGAGCAGAAAACCATATCAGTAGTTTTTGAAAGCTTTTCTTTTTCCTCCTGTGTTTAGCAGTACAGAACCTTCAGGTAGTTCCCAGGAACGGTTCTGCAAAGATGAGGATGTTTCTGGCTCCTTTGTGTTTGACAAAAAGCAGAAGAGAAATGAGTGTGAAGATGAATGTAGACAGACTGCCTACTACACACCTGAGAGGTATGAGAGGAAACTTCTGTGCTTAACTTAGGGAAAGAATTCAGTACATGTCAGTGCTGTCAGGTTGTTGTAGGAAATGTTTAGTGTGGAAGGGCAGTTCATACTCAGCTTTGGAGTTTGACACTTTTGCTGTTGATCGCAATCCATCGATGGTACAGAGCACTGAATATGGAAAAAGAAAACAGCATTGAGGAATTACATGATTTAGCAGAAGGAAATGCAGTGTTTTTTTAGCTTCACAGTTTATACAGTGGAGTACTGAGGTTTCTTTAACCACTGCTGGAATGTTCTGAAAGTAGGGGAGCTTTTTCAGAAGCAGGAGTCCCCATCTTAGTCATATTGTGCCTGTCTGCTGAACAGCAGGGAGACTGACTGTGACATGCACTTCCCTGTTTACTGAAATATCTTGTCCTTGGGGGAACGTGTGTGGAGCTCAAAATGGTTTGGCTTCCAAAATGTGAGCGCTTTGCTCAGTGTTCCTCTGTGTGACTGAAGAATCATAGCTCAAAAGAAAACTTCCTCTGTAGCATGTGCTATTATTTAGCAGAACACTGCTAAATGTTTAAACATAGGTGAAAAATGTTATGTGTCTAAAATCTATTTTTGCAGTTCCTGTTCTCCCGATTCTTCTCCAGTATGGAAACGCAGAAAAATAAACAATTCTGACTCCTCTGTGGTTTCAGAGAGCAAAAGCCATTATCTTCAGATGTACCAAACACTGGAAAGGTATGAAATGATTCTCCATGTGGGAATTCTTTGATATTATGAACTGGCTTCAGGAATATGACTGGTATTTTCCCCTCCCTTTGTTAATAGCTTTAATTTTATCTAAATGTGTGCCAATTAATGAGGAAGGGAAATCATGTTGGAATAACTGTGCTGTATGATAGCAAATATTTACAGTGCTCCATTGCAAAGTGTCAGAAGACACAGCACAGGTTGTATTTTGTGTGTGTAGATTTAGGCAACACTAAGGGTTTTGGCAGTTTAGTAGACATTTCACACTAACCTTAGTAAAAATGTTCATACAAGTATGGTTTCTTCTCTCTTCTTAGTCCCCCTCTGAAAAATTAATAGGAAATGTGTTACCACAGTGCATGGATTCAGACATTTTCATTTTCTTTCCAGCCTCACTGACTTAGGACATCAGGGGGCTTATTCAAAGTGCTCAGATTGGGAAGCCTTTGGTGAAAAAGATGAATTAATGACAGTACAACAAAGCATAGAAATAACAACGTGAGTACCCCAGTGATTATGTTGTTGTTTCTGTTTATTGCTTATGCTGTAAAGATGTCCTTTTCTGTTCTTTTTAATCTTTTCCTTCACTGGTTACTACTACTTTTTTTTTTATAATTATTTTTGCCTTCTTCCATTTCCTCCAGCACATGGCATGGTTGTTATTTCTGTTCTTTGAGTTGGCTTTTTCCTGTCTGACTCTCCATCTCTTGCTTTCTGCTGTCTCTGCCATCCCAGGTAATGCTGGAAAATGATGAGCCCCTTTCATACTCTGTCTTGTGGAAAGAATTGGAAGTTTGCCTCTCACTTCTTTGGTCTAAGAGCTGGAAGCTTCCTCTCTGTCTCTCCAGAGATTAAGTTGTTTTGTAGTGACAACAGTGATGGTTGTTTCTTTTTATGCAGTGACCCGATTGCAGCCAGTTGTTCTCCAGGATGGAACACTC